GTCAGCATTAGGGAAGGGGGAGCCGCACGGCGCTCTGCGCTAAGAAACGAGGCGGCCAAACGGGGATGATCGTCTAGGCGCGTTACGTGGGGGCGGCGTCAGAGCGGTGCTGTCGGATGTCGACACGTCAGAAGACGAGGTTGCGGCGGAGGAGGAGGCGGTGGCGGTGGAGGAGGAGAGGGAGGAGGAGACGGTGGGGGCGGAGGTGGCCGCCGCGTGGGCGGGCGAGGGGAAGTGGGGCGGTGAGGCAGAGGCCGCGCGGGGCGCCGGCGCAGCTGGCGCGTCCGGCTGCGGCGGCGGCGGCGGCGGTTTGGGCGGCGGCGGCGGCGGCGCGCTGCCCCCGCTGCCGCGCGTCCAGCTGGTCGAGAGCGGCAAGGATTCGCTCTCGGGCGGGTGCGGTGTGGTGGTCATCTCGTACGACCTCGCGGTCCGGCGCGCGGCGGAGCTGCGCGCGGCCGGCTTCGGCGTGGCGATCGCAGACGAGAGCCACGCGCTCAAGGAGCCCGAGTCGCAGCGCTCGAAGGCGCTGCTGCCGCTGCTGGGAGGCGTGCGCAGGCTCGTCCTCGTCTCGGGCACGCCGTCGCCCTCCCGGCCGGCGGAGATCTTCACTCAGGCGAAGCTGCTGCGGCCCGGGATCTTCGGCCGCCGGCAGGACTTCGAGCGGCGGTACGCCGCCGCACACCAGGGGCGGTTCGGCTGGGACGCTAAGGGCGCGAGCCATGTGAAGGAGCTCCACGCCGTGCTGACGCACGCGCTGATGGTGCGACGCACAAAGGCGGAGGTGCAGTCGCAGCTGCCGCCAAAGGTGCGAGAGGTGCTGCTGATCGATGCGCCCGAGGCTGCGCGCGCGTGGGCTCGAGTCGAGGCGGAGCGAGCGGCGGGCCCGGCCAAGGAGCACTCGGCGGAGATGACGCTCGCCTACATGGAGACGGGGCGCGCGAAGGCGGCGGCGGTGGCGGACCACGTCGCGAGGCTGCTTGCCGCGCCGGGGCGGCGCAAGCTGCTGCTCTTTGGCCACCACAAGGCGGTGCTCGACTTGTGGGAGGAGCGGCTGCGCGGCGTGTGCAGCCACGTGCGGATCGACGGCGAGGTGCCGCACGAGGCGCGCGACTACCGCGTGGCGACCTTCCAAGGCGACCCGGCCGTACGGCTGGCGATCCTCTCGATCCGGGTGGCCTCGCATGGCTTCACGCTCACCGCGGCCAGCGTCGTGGTCTTCGGAGAGCTGGCGTGGAACGCGTCCGACCTCGCGCAGGCGGAGGACCGCGCTCACCGCATCTCGCAGCTCGCGGAGCGCGTGCAAGTCTTCTACTGCATCGCGCGCGGCTCCGTCGATGAGGTGATGTGGCGCCTCGTCGAGAAGAAGTTGCAGGTCACCTCGTCGCTGATGTCCGGCGGCCGCGCCGCCGGGTTCGGCTCCGGTGCCTCTGGCCCCGCCGCCGCAGGCTTGCGTGGGGCGGCGCTCTCTGGCCCCGCCGCGGCGGCGGCAGCCAGCGGCGCAAAGCCTTCGTCGCCAGACATCCGCTCCTTCCTGCGGCCAGGTCCCCCCGCAGGCCAGTCTGGCGGCGGAGGCGGCGGAGGCGGCGGCGGGGTCGGCGGTGGCGGTCGCTGCGGCGGTGGCGACGGGGGCGGCTATGGAGGCTATGGAGGCTATGGAGGCTATGGAGGCTATGGAGGCGGCGGCGATTGCGGTGGAGGCGGCGGCGGCGGCGATTGCGGCGGCGGCGGCGGCGGCGGCGGCGGCGGCGGCGGCGGCGGCGGAGGGCAGGCATCAACTCGGCCTGCGGGCGCATCTGGCATCGCCGGCCTTCCGCGTCGGCCCGATGGCCCGCTCAGCCCTGGCGACGGCTCTGGCGCGTGCCTTGCCGGAAGGGGCAGCGCACGCGCCTCTGAAGATCGAGGCGCGTGGCTCAAAGCCGGCGCTGCGCGGGGTTTCGTGCCCATCCGACATGGTCTACTTTTCCATTTTTTGGATGCCGTGGTCGTGGGGGTCACTCACGACCCGCCGACGAGGTACCGTAGGCGGCGCTCAGCGCCGCTCTCGCAGGCTGATTTTGACGGTTCTACATTTTGTTTTTGTTTTCAGTCTAGGGGGCCCGACCCCCTCAGAGGCGGCGGGCGGGCGCCCACTGACCCAGAAATCAAAAAAACTCGGCCCAACCCCGGGTCACGGGCGAACACAAGTCCGCCGACCGTACACGGTTGTGTACACCGCTTCATAGCTTCATAGCTTCAATGGACTCCGCTGGCATCAACCCGATGAGGCGCGAAAGCCGAAACTAAGGTGATGCTCCTACATCCCCACCGAAACGCATTGTCCATTGATACACAATTGTGGCGGTAGGGACGTCCGCCGCAATTCGGACAATGCTCTTTCCCACGCCCGCCACATCAGCCACCGCACCTGACGCTCAAGGACGATTCGGTGCCTGTGGCCCGCAACTTGGCCATCTATGACGGCCCGGAGCAGCGGTTCTGCCCGGCTGGCGTGTACGAGTACTTGCAGCCTGACGAGCCCGATGGCGAGCCGCGGCTACAGATCAACGCGCAGAACTGCACCCACTGAGAGTGTGCGGCACCCACCCTAGCGCCACTCTTCACACCGCGTCCTTTGAACAGGCATCCACTGCAAAACGTGCGACATCAAGTGCCCCTCGCAGAACATCGACTGGGTCGTGCCCGAGGGCGGCGGCGGCCCAGCTTACGCTGGCATGTAGCGGCGCCGCCCCGCAGCGTTCCGTCTTGCCACAGACCCAGTTCCGCCGTTCTTGCGATAATTCTCCGAGCCGTCTCCCGCGTGCACAACTATTAATGCTGCTCCTGGTGTGTCCCTCCTCCGCCCCTCCGGAGAGGACGCGCGGCGCGTCACCGCCGTCGCGTGCGCTCACCATTTGACAAGCGCGCCAGACCTTCCAGTTGCGTGCGCGCGCGCTGCAGTACCAGTAGGTCTAGGTCCGCCGCGCTCCATTATTGTTTTTTTGGCGTGGCCAGATGCGGCTGTTGGTAGACAAGTCAAAACGCATCTCCCGATCTCTCGTCGGAAAGAAAACGCAAGGACGACAGACACGATTACATCACTCGCCTGCCTCTCGCCACGCAGCCCCGCCGCCGGCTCGAGCTGCCAGCAATGCTGCCGGCCTTGCCACCTGCCCCGCCTGCCCCCTGACTTGCGCCGCCTGCCCTCGCGCTCGCCCGACGCACCCCGCCGCCCCTACTTTGCTCCGATGAGCCCTCTCCGCTCGTACTGCGCTAGCACGGAGCTGGCTTGCGTCAGCCAAGCGATGCGCCCGCCCGGCTCCATCTTGGTCAGCCCCGCTACCCACCTATTCACCGTAGCGACTCTGTGAGCCGACGCTATTCACGCGTTGCCTAGCTCAGCCAATTCGCGGCACTCGAATTGGTCCACGACGTCGTCGGCATCGTCGGGCCGTTCGAAGTAGTCCCACACCTATAACCACACCTCTAGCTGCGTAAAGCGATGCGGTTCCAGGCTGACCGAACCGTCGCAGCAACAGCCCGCACCGCCGCGGCCTCGTCCCCAAACACCGCCTCCACCTGCATGCGTGCAGCAAACCGCATGAGTAGGCGCAGCTGGTGTCCGCTCGACCCTCTTGTTATGAGCGGGGCACCTCGTCCCTCTCGAGCGTCCCAGTGCTGTCGCCGTCCACCCGCTCAAACACCTCCCGTGCCAGGGCCACCCAATCCTCGCTGTTGCGTGTCTGCACCGCCTCGATGCTCTCGCGCAAATTGCGCAGCACAAACGTAGGCGCTTGGAGCACTTGCTTCGCGATCTTGCCACCCACCAGCGGGAGCGGCTTCTCCGACACCTGTCAGCCAAGGAGAGCTCCCTTTGGGCGCAGCTCGAAGGTTCCACATGAGGGCGAGCGGACCTGGAAGAGGTCAGGGAGCTGCCACGCCGGCATACCCGCAGCGACGCAGTGCGCCTGGCAGCTCAGTCCGCTCGACGTGTTGTGGGTGGGCTTTGCCGAGGTTTGCCGAGATGGAGCCAGCCTCGCGCGCCTCGAGCTCGCTCCGCCCGACGCTTGCGCCCGCCTTTGGCGTCACCCAAGCAACTACCATATCACCTAGGCGTTGGCAGCGCCGTTGTTGAAGACGCATATCATGAATAGCGCAGTGTGTCGTGATGGCCATAGCGCCAGTGCCGCCCGGGTGCGCGCTGCCGATCACGGCGGCCTGACCGACCGCCGCGTGCCGGAACAGCACCTCTTCGATGTCGCGCGGGGCGACGTTGAAGCCACGCCACGTCGGGATGAGCTCCTACATCCGAGACTCTTGGCTGCATCACGGCTGACATCTCAGCCACGCGGTGCGCACCTTGACTCGACCGACCACATACAGGTTTCCATCCTCATCCACCTTGCCAACGTCCCCAGTCCTGACGTATCCGTCTTTTCCGATCGTCTCGGCGGTCTTCTCCGGGTTCTTGTAGTACTCCTACAGCAATGCCTCGAGATAGACTCGGTTTCTATGCAGCGATTGTGTGCCCAGAGCGGCGCTCCTTCATCATGAACGGCGACCACGCGCAGATCTCGCCACCACCCTCGTCCACTCCGAATTGTTTGCGCGTCGCCGCATCGAGCGGCTCGATGAACACCTGGGGAAATAGGAATGGCGAGAGTGATGAGATGTCTTTGAGGGGCAGGGCATCGCATCGTCGCGCACGCGCCTTGGCCATCGGACTCACCTTCCCCACCGACGCTAGGAGGCGGATCGCCGCTTCGTCACCTGCCTTTGCTTGGTCGTGCACCTGATGTAGACGTGTGCTGGGCTCCGGAGGGGCGTAGGGCCAAGTGGCGTGGCGGTGTCTAGCCGGCGTGTGTACGGCGACGTGAGAGCTCGCACCTCAGCAGACAGCTCCGAGATGGGCAGGCACTCCGTCTGTGCGTACCCCTGTTTAAAGGTCGCGTTTGGGAATTGCTCCATGCTCTTCAACACGAGCGAGGGCGGGAAGCACGAGCCGCCGTACTGCACCTCGGTCACCGACGGGAAGGTTCTGCCCGGGAATGTGGCGAGAAGCTGCTGCATTGCGGCGCCAAACAGGAGGTGGAAGCGCGGGCTATACTTGTCGAATAGCGGCCCCCAGTCCTCGGCCGAGCTCATCCCAGGCGTCTTTGGCTCGACCATCACCAGCTGCTGCCCCTCCGCCAGCATGATCCACGACAGCAGCGTCGAACCGACGCCGCGCATTGGCACCCACAGCAGCGTGCTGTCGCCCGGCTGCATCTTCCACACCTCTTCCCCCTGACTCCGCATCATCTCGGCAATGCCGCCGAAGAGGCCAACAGTCGAGAACTTGTACACGACTCCCTTTGGTAGCCCGGTGGAGCCCGACGTAGAGAAGATGACTCCGGGGTCCTGAGGCAGGTCACAGACTCGTCACGGGCAGTCTAGTGTCTTCTCTAGTCCCAAACTTGGGACTAGGGCTGACGCTGCGCCTCAGGGTCCACGGTAATATCCACCGGCTCATCGCTGCCACTCAGCTCCAGCCGGCCCAGCTCGCTCTCACCCGCCCGATATGGTGGCAGCACCATAGTCGGCCAAGTGTCCCCAAAATCGCGCGGGAAGTTGGTGTGTTGCGGCTGGTCCGTCACGATCAGGCGGGGCTCGTACATGCCCACGATCGATTGGCAGTCTGGCGGGGAGAGGTCGAAGGACACCGCAGCCAGATCTGCCATGCGATGGTCGTAGGCTTCCTCTTGCATCCATCTCGTTTTGCGCAACGGGGAGGACTCGGAGAAGAACCGAGTCTACCGCGCGCTCGCCAGCATGATCCGCAAGGGCTTCCGGCCGATGGGAGTCGGCGATTGTCGCTACGTGATGGGACACATCGTGCACATGCCACCCGAGCCGTCACGCTCGCAGTTCCGTTGGCACCTCTACAAGGCGTGCAGCTGCTACAGCTGGAAGATGGCCAACGGATCTCCTGGCAACGGGCAAGAGGCCTTCTCCGAGAGCGGGGTTCGCACCCGGATGCCTAGTTGTGTACACCTCGGCGTCATGTTGGCTAGGCCTTCTGCAAGAGTGGGCTGACGCATCACACCATGCGCACCTGCAAGCACCTCAAGGCGGAGCTCTGCGTAGGGGGCGGCTACGCTTGCCCACTGTGAACGGCGTCTCGTCACAGCCTGGAGGCTGAGTAGGCCGAGTTTGGGGACGACGTCGAGCTGTTGCGCCACAAGTGGGCCGTCGCCAACGCGCAGCGGCAGGGATGGGTGCCGGTGAGCGAGCGCGAGGCCGAGTTCTTCGTTGGTCGCACCTGGAGCTGCACGTGCCCCTCATTCCTGTCCGAGATCAACCAGAGCCGCGTGCTGAAGCGCTGCAAGCACATCGACGCTATTCACGATGACTTGCGCGGGACGCCGGTCGAAAAGCGCGAACGGCGCTTCAAGGCATTGTACGTTGACGACTCGCAGCCAATCACGCTTGAGGCCCAGTTTTACGGCCTGCTGGGCTCGCACGGAGAACGATACCTCGTCTCTTGGATGGCAAACGGAGACGATGCCGAGGAGCACGAGCAGGAGAGGCAGGAGCGGCTGCGGCAGCTCCATCCTGCCGCCACGGCGGAAGCGGACATTCATGCGCACGATGATTGGTAGATTGGCACGTAAATCGTGCCCGAGACACCGTTTGCCCCCTTGCCCCCCCCCCCCCCCTGCGAGTACAGACCACGCCTCACTTTTTCACAGGGGGGGATCCGTTTTCGCTGCGCATGCTCGAGCCCCCGGGGAGGGCTTGTGCTGTGAATAGCAGGGGTGGTTTGTATTTGGAAGGCCCCCCCCCCCCCCCCCCCAAACCCAGTCCTAGCCATTGCCCGTGTGTGTGTCTCTGGAGAAGATTACCTTCTCACTCCGCGTTACTTTCCAACCAAAAAAGAAGTAACGCGCGTGCAGATCCCGGTAGTGTCCACCGTGTCCAGAGGTGTCCAGGTGTCCAAAGATCCAACAAGTTGCGCGGAACAACGCTACCAACGGTTCTCGCCCGCGTAGCTCACAAGCCTCACTGCGGCCTTAGCTAGCCTACGTCCCCGCGCAGCCTACACGATGGCATGGTGCCAGCACTTCACCCAGCTCTCCGTCCCCGCGCCGAGCCGCTCCAAATGCCCATTCAAGATTACAATGAGTAACTCAACTCATCCTTTGGCAGCTTGTATTGTTGAGTATGTATGAGTTCGAAGTATGAGTAGTCATCGGATGACGTCTGCGGCAGCATGCTGGACGCGGCTTGGCGCGCGTGGCAGGCCGAGATGGAGGCAGAGTGCCCACCAACCCGTGCTCTGCGCCCCTCTCCACCACTGTGCTCGTCACCGCAGCTCTTGCTCGGCTCGAGGCAGGACACCGCTGATTTGCCTGGCCGAGGTCTTACCACACTTGTCGTCCGTTCGGCCAAGACCTCCCTCCAGACACGAGACCCATTTGACTCTCAGGCCTTGCTCACTGGCGCTCGCTGACCGTGCTTGCACGCGGTGGGCGCGGCCTCTGGCTGCTCTTTGAAGAGGGGCAGACCGGCGGCGCGGACAGCAGCTTCAGTGCTGCTCTAAAGTCGAAAGACGGCGGGCTCACATTCCACGGGACGCCCGAGCTGGTTCTCCCGAATATGACTGAATGGCACTACCGCGGAGGCGCGTGCGGGCCGATGACGTACAATGCGGCGTTCGTGCCGGTCAGGGCGGGCTTCATGCCCGCTGGTGGCTCCCCCAAGCTCATGACAGAATCTGTGACGGGCCTTGCTACGACAGCTCGACGTGCATTCCTCGGTATCGCCTTGCTCACCATTGCCACCCTTTGTGTCCAGGCGCGGAGACATCGGTGTGCCTCGCCCATTCAGCCGGCTTGCTGTACTCCTCTGCTCGGAGAGTGGCATTGCGCGATGGCAGAGCTGCGGGGGCGCTTAGCAACCTGACACCAGCCGAGTCGACGTGGCGGCTCGTCGCGCCGGCGATAGGTCCCAATCATCGCGGCTGCGTCCAGGGCCGCTTGCCAAAGCGGGGGCGCCTGCGCGGGGACGGCCTGCCTGGTTGCGTCTTCGATGGCCGCCTTTCGCTCGTCTTCCATCGAGGGCGCGAGCCTGTGGACGGAGGGCCCCGCGCCACATCTCCGGCGAGCCCCACCCTTGTCTTGCGTGTGGACGTGCGAAGCTCTTTGCACGAGCCAATCCAGTGCACACCGGCCAGCGCTACGTGCAACTTTCGACGGCCGATCAGGGGAGCGTCGGCCCACTCTTGCCAAGCGAGGAAGGAGTGAGTACGTGGTCGCCCTTCCAGATGATCCGCATTGACAACTATGCATACTGCGACGGCGACATCTACTCTTCCTGGTGCAGCAGAACCCGGTGCTCGCGGACTCTCTCCTCGCTCTATTCCCGGTCGTACACCGCAGCTCTGGCTGCATCGCGTTCGCAGTCTCGCGTGACGGAGTCCGTTGGAGTGCCCCGGCGCCGCTTCTGCGGTGCGCGACCGACGACTACAGCTCGCCCGGGAGCCGCGTCAAGCTGGGCTCGAGGCACAGTCACACTCATGTGGGGCAGCGGTCGCTCCACCAGCCCGCTGCGAAAACTTGCACCTGGTCGGAAGCGAGGCGGTGGTGTTTGTGCACGAGCATGTGCCTGGCATTTCTCGCACGCCGGGCGCCAAGCCAAAGCTCAAACGGTGGGCGTTTCCCGCCAGCAGGCTACGTGAGTGGTCACGGGCCCTGCTCGCGGAGCACGATGCCAGACCGGCGCGGCGGCGGGCGGAGGACCAGGCGCAGCACGAGGTATGTGAGTGCCGTAGACAGTCGTGGCTCCACCGTTTGCGTAAACCGTTTGGCGGGCCGCCGTCGCCAAAACGTGTCCAGGCTCTCGTCAAAAGTGTGAGAACAACCAGGCCGAAAAAAAGAACACACGCTCGTGGCACGTGTCCATTGTCTCGGCTCATCGCGTCTCGAGCCGTGTCGGTATCTATATTGCAACACATCCGTTCCGGCCTCAGTCCGGCTGAAGAAAGCCTACGGCGGAGAGCAGTAGCGCCAACGACACTGCGAGCGCCGCCTCGGTGCGGCCTCGCCTCGTGGCGGCGGCTGCGACGGCGCCGATAGCCAGGGCGAGGTAGAGCGCCTCGATTGCGACGGCGCGCCGCCAGATCGCCAGCATGCGGTCCGTGTGGGCGCCGCTATCGTTGGCGCGCGGGAAGGGCGTGCGCGGCACGGGCACGCCGAGAAAGGCGCACAGCGGCGCCCAACCGTCCGAGGCGCGAAAGACAAGCAACCGCTCCGGCGGCACCGCCGCGGCGACCCGCGCATTCCACGCCTCGAAGCGGGTGGCGAGCGCACGCGTGTCACGCAGCTCTCCAGACATTACGCCGCCGTCAGAGT